GTCGACTATTAATTTTTAGAATGGATAAAAATATATAGTTTCTCTTTTATAATTGGGTTATTATATATTAAACTAAAAATAAAAAACAAAATACTAGAATAAGAAAGTACTTCCGGAAAAAATTATGTTTTTCGGTCACTATAAATTTTGTGTGAGTTAGTAAAAGTTTTATAATTTTTGTGTGAGAAAATAAAGTTATATGACTATCGTGTAGAAAAAAAGTCATAATTATATGAACATTTATGAAATTTAGCCTATAAATAAGCGGAACTAGTTATCTAAAAAAAAAAAAAAGCATTGCCTAGCTACAATAACATAATTACACACAATAGTGTAAAAGGGTTTTCCATTCAGTATTGAAAAAATGACACTGTATAGCCGCTCTCAAAATAATAGACGAAAAAAAATATTTTTTGTATATATATGCACACAATCCTCTGTGCATGTGTGTGTATATATATATATATATATATATACACACACACTTTTTCGGCTGCCAAATGTAAATAGTTTCTTGCGCGGACAAAAAGTGGAAAAAGCCCTTCAGTATAAATAAGTTAAATCTTAATTAATAATTGCACCCAAATCATCATTTCCTAAGGCATGCTAACTAATTAATTCGTCAGACTTATCATTATTGGTTCATAGTTTAATTAACACCAGCCGTAAACCTACATTAGGAAGCCCTTAATTGACTTCTATTATCAGCTGTACGAAACTTGCAAACCTTTTGTTGTTTAATCACTCTCATGTCTCGGTAAGGGACATTATGATAGTGGTTTATCTTACATAATCTCTTAGTTAATTGGAAATTATGTGATAAATTAAAGTTATAAATGATCTTCCCAATCATAGAGGCCAAGGTGGCATGTGCCCCAATTATCCATTCATTTGTATGTATAACTATAAATCATTATTAAGAGTGGTAGAGAGGAGACCAAACAGTTCATACACATACATTTTTGCCCCTTCAGAAGGAAAAAACAAAATCAAGAATATCAAGATAATAAGTCAAAGATTCTAACACAAATCTTCTAATAATCACACGAGCGAAGGATCAGCAGAAATTTCTAGTTGATTTTAAATTAAAAAAGAAAAACATTAATTGACTTTCAAATATAATACATGAATTTTTTTTGGGACTTTGCACTTGGATGCAATCCTTGAAAGTGCAGTTCACAAGCTTGTTGACAAACTAATTAATGTGTCTTGATATGTTATACAATAGAGTCGGATAATTGACCTTAATATTCCACCACCGCTCTCCAAAAAAGAAAAAGAAAAGAAAAGAAAAGAAGAAGGGCCTCAGCATGTATTAAGAGCATTTTATACCATTAAAGCAAAAAAAAGACAGTTCGGTGCACAAAATATCTCGCGTTTATGCAGGATGGATAAGTAAACAAACGAAACATTTGCCCATATACGTACTTGTACATGGATGGCTCTTGAACTTGGCGGTTGGTACAAATTTTCATTTAGACACCTCATTTTTGGGTTGTACCTATTGAATACTTAATATTGTCAAAAATGTGCCAATTAAATGCACCTCGCTAACATGGCAATCGCATGATTCTTCCCGAAATTGAGCATACGTATTGCTGGAAAAATATGGAGTTTTTCAGGAAAAATGAATTTTCCTTCACGCACTCTGGTTGATCTGAAATTGTCATTTATGTATTTAATTGACACAAATTTGACAACATACGGTGTTTAATATGTCATACTTAGAACTAAGGTATCTAAATGAAAAATATTACCAAATTTAACCAACTTATTGTTCTCTCAAGAGCAGGATTGATGAACTATCTTAAGTGCAAGGAAAAAGACGAATGATTAACATTAGCAAAATTAGAATCTAAATCGCCTCGTGTTAAACCAAATGCACATAGCTTGAAATGTAAATTACTCTTCTGAAGTTGCTTGAACCCTCGATGCACGTGATCAATTATCTGTACTGTTAATTGAAAATCGTACACATAGTATGCTGTTTCTAATAATTAATTATCCTTGACCACGTCAGATCACTGAATCAATAAGGCAGATTCAAATAGTCGAAATTCAAAAGTTAAAATTTCACTTCTACAATTAATAGGTTTAGCCATGACATTTATAACACAATCCAAAATAACGCTATGGTTAAAAGTGATATATAACATTATAATCCTGAAGAAATTAAACAGCAGAAGCATTGAGAAACAAATGAACTCTAGAACATTAGGCACACACAGCAACAACAATGAAATCAAAATCTAAGGATAAGGTAGCAATCACATTCTCCTGCAGCAAAATGTATGTAATTGAGGAAATCTATCACATGCAGTTCAGGAGTAAAAGGACTGTTATAGCATTATGTCTCAACAACGGAATTATAAGCTTCTAAGGATACTCAAAGAACATCAAGGAAACCTAACAACACATTTAATCTACCAAAAACCTCTTCAATTGTCCATCAAATCTTTGAAAATACTCTTATTAGTATTTCCTCCCAAAACCTCCTGCGCCGCGACCATATGTTGGAAGAGCTGCTACTGCCTGTGGCTCAGCAGCTTGCTTGACAACACCAGGAAGATCAGACATGCCGAGGGCTGTAAGCATGTCAAGGGTCTCCTTGTCAACTTCAATGAGATCAGTTTTGATGGCAGACTCATCAGGAACAAAGTCCATACGTCTCTCACGCTCTTCCTCCTGCAGTTTCAGGGAGATACCTCGAACAGGTCCCTTCTGAATACGTTTCATGAGATGGGTGGAGAAACCAGCAATCTTGTTGCGGAGACGCTTGGAAGGAATTATGGCAACTTCCTCCAGGATCTTCTTGTTTGTGTGGAAATCCAAAGTCATTTTGGAGTAATACTTCTCAATTACCTGTCGGGATGACTTCTTCACTGTCTTGGTGCGTACACGACCCATCCTTTCAGAGTTTCCTTAGACCAAACCTGTTATGTTAATTTTTCAGTTATTCATCATTAATCTTTTCACTATGAGAAGACTATATGATGATGCATACTTCATTTTCATAATAGTCTAAATATTTCTATCAAATTGCTGTGACTTATTGAATCTCAACGTACAAAGTCAGAACCTGTGAAGCATATTCCCTACAAATACTGGGAAAAGTATATTTCCCAAGCTAAATGGCATAAACACATATGCTTCTCAGGTCCAAATAGTTTTCAAGCTCAAGGAAACCCTTTTTCACCGGTGCCTGAATCTAAAAGAACATGTTTTCATCTTCGCTTGTTCTCAGACAGCAAATGGAGAAAGCAAATATATCTCCTGAGTCCAGACCAATTTGAAAGGGGATAAGCCAGGGAAAGGCATCTCCCCTTAGACAACTAATATGATAGGAGCCTTCTATATCCTCAGACGGACCTGCTATAACTGTTCCGTCCTTCTGTTGGTTAACTCACTAAGCTCAATCATATTAGGCAATTGCGATTACTGGATGTAAGTCTGATCCTAGAAGAAACAATGCCCTCTGTTTTACAGGAAACCAAATGAGCTGATTACAACCACTCGCAACGAGACTGTTCAAACTTCAAGTTAACTAACGTCCTCAGAGGAGTTTCCGAATTTCCTAAAGAACTAATCTCAGTAATACCCTTAATAGCCAATACACAACAGTTCAAAGTTTTTCAACTTCAGAAACAACAATGCAGATAACAAAAAATATTGACCTTGAAATCAGTATCACCACTTTCTTCTTCTATCAACTACTAATCAAATCCAGTTTAAATCCAAATTAGTTTGGTTCGGCTACAACAATCCTCTTATTCATCCCACATTATTCAGGTCATTTAGCAATTAGTATTCAGAGGATTCATCTTAATTCCATTTTTCAATAACGGTTGTACCGGTGCCAAATTGAGCGCACTTCGACTAATCCACCAAATAACTGCTACTTACAACTAGAACAAATACTGGGCAATTTTGTCACCAAGTCTTAGAAATATGGTCACATAAATATTTTTTCAATCGGAGATATATACAAAGAGAATGTATAGAAAAATTAGATTCTTTAGCATAAGAAATTTTAACAGCTTTTAGCAAGTAAACAATTTGATCAATCTTAAAGAGCTGTGATCACATAAAGCATATAGAATATTTCCAGTAATTTAGAGCAAATAAAACAAATACTATAATGTTAAAATGCAAAGCTAAAAACTCACAGAGATTTCTGAAGAGAAAGAACCACAGTCGTGTGCGGCAGCAACTGAGCAAAGTGTAATTTTCAGCAGAAATAAAAGAAAGTGAGACTATATTAGGGTTTGTGTTTGTGGATTTACTTGGGATGATATTGGGCTTGTGTTGTGTAAAGTCCATTTTGGGCTAGCTCAGGCTAATGAAATATTGATGGGCTTGGACCAGGCTTTCAAATTTGCTTACGTGGATAAACTGGACCCATTCTTTATTGAAATTTTTACATTCCTATACCACATAGGAAACCTTTTTACCCTACATGTTTAAGCTTTGAGTTAATTACACTTAGTATACCAAATTACCAATCCTATACCATGCTTAATTAAGGGTCTAATTAATGGACTATTTTTACTCCTTAATTAAAGGTATCCATATCTAATTAATGGGCAATTTTTACTCCTTAATTAAAGGTATCCATATATCTCACATTTCTCTCTCCTTACCCCTCACCCCCTCACCCACGTTTTTACCCATACCCCACATTCTTTCTTGTTCTTCATCCACGCTGGTTTTCGGTAAAGCCTTATTTTAAAATGATAAATGTTCATTTAGCATGATTGAGGTTACCAGGCAACTTATGGTACTTCAGTATATCACAGTTAACTTTATAAAATTTTCAAAAGTGGGAATTTATCCTTTTGACCAAACTTCCAAAAAGTATTTATTCTGAGAAATGTTTATGCCATAATAGAATTCCAGATTTACTGTTTGTCGTGTATTTTGTATTGTAGTGTAATTGTAGTGTAATTGTAGTGTAATTGTAGATTTAGTGTAATGGATATGATCTGTTGAAGCCCTCACATAGATTTACTGTTTGTAGTGTAATTGTAGTTAGTTTGTAGTTTATGTAGAACATTCCACGATTAATTGTAGTTTAAAATGTAGATATAATGTAGACATGATTGTGGATGATGTGTTTCCTGTTTGCCCTGTAACTGTAGGTAAATTGTAGTTATTCTTATATTAGGTACTTAAACTGTAGGTAATTTGTACATTCACTGTAGTTATTCTTATATTAGGTACTTAAACTGTAGGTAATTTTTAGATGTTTACCTCCAAGTTCTATGTAATATTTGTATATAACTGTCAGTTGAATATAAATTACACAACAAAAAATAAGAAATAAATACTCCAATCGTAGAAATGCGTTATCCACAATTAATCTGCAAATTGTCTACAAAATTTTACAAAAACTACAAATTAACTACATTTAACCTACATTATAACTACAATCTGGAAATAATTTACACATGGAAGTTCTTCAAGTTGGAATTGGCCACAACTACATTTCTTGTTTTCTAGACACACAATGTACCGCTTCACACCATCCAACACAGTATGTATATGATCTGTTGAAGCCCTCACCTACATTTTCAGAACAAACACAAAGAAAAAAAATTTACAATATTAAAAATATAGTATCTACAATATATCTACAATTTATCTACAAATTAACTACAAATTACAAGTAAACTACAATTTGCCTACAATATATCTACAATCCGGAGACATTGTATATTAAAATATTTTTTTCCTGCACCAAATAAAGAACTTGTAGTCAAATTGTAGATATATGTAGTAAATTTGTTGATAATATCATAAAACTAAAATTCTAAGCATTTTCGAACTACACAAACCTGCATTCTCATCTACACAATGGCATCAACTTCAAAATCTCTAAATCTGCCATAGTTATCCCAATTCCCATTCAATTTTATCATTATTGGGATTTTTGACATGATTTCGTGTAGTTAAGAGAAAAAGATGAAGAACGGATATAGGTTTGACAATTTGAGTACTGAGGACGATGAAGAACAATTTTGAATTCTACATTTTGTATTGCGTTGTTGAAGCTTCTGAAGCTCTGCGTTGTTTTTGAATTGTAGTGAAAGAGAGAATTACGCAGCAATCAGATCTCTTTCCGTTTCAAATTTCGAATTTAATGTGGAAAGAATCAAACGCATATTTTGTGCCCTTTTTTTCGCGCGTTTTAAATGGAATAATCTGCCTAATTATGGATTGGTATATAAATTGTAGTTAAAGTATGGACTGGGCGGGTAATTAACAAATTATGCACATTTTTGGTAATAAGGTTTCATATATGGTATAGGAAGGAAAAAATCCCTTCTTTATTTCCTTTTTTCGGTTTTCCTGCGTTTATTTTTCAAAATGAAAAAAATGATAGTCTCTATTAGCAGGGTTGCTTATCGGGCTGATAATTACACTTGACAGTTCAGCTTAACGGTTATCGGATTATAAATGTAGTAATTCGCTAGCCATCCAATAAGATAACAGTGGCATCGGATTAACAATTATCGGGTGATTATCGGGCAGCTTATCGGCTAAACCAAATAAAAAAATTTGATTAATAATTCAATCAATACCAAGACTATAAATACTTCCATTACACATATTAACCAAATTTGTAAAACCAAAAAAGCACATTCGTTTAGGGATCAGTCAAACTTCTAAAAGGACATTCGTTCATAATCAATCAAAAGGTAAAAGCTTCGGCCTTCGCCCTCAAGGCTCTGACGCTTAACTTAGTTAGAAGCTGTAATTCGATTATGTAATATGCAAATAGATAAAGGTACAACACGTGGAATCAATATTCATATAAAACTGGGTAGCCATCTGTAATTGAATTAAGAAGTTGGAAAAAAGGATAGTAATATACAAACAACAATGGGAACGAAAGACAGATAAACAATGGTACTCTATATACATAGGGATAAAAGTATAAATATAAAAATTCTTAACAGGTTAACGGTTTACCCGATAAGAAAATTGAGTAATCCGCCCCCAAGCCGTTAATTATAAAATCTCAATCCATTCCCCTTTCATTAGCCCAATAATCTGATACCAATAAGCCAATAAACCATCGGTTCAGTTCGGTTCAGTTAACGGTTTCGATTCGGTTTTGAACAGCCCTATCTGTTAGGGGTGTTCAAAGTAGGGGTGGGCGTCAGTCGGTTCGGTTCGATTTTGTATAAGTTCGGTTCGGTTTATTTGATTTTCGGTTTGGAATTTTAATAACCAAACCGAACCAAAGTGTTTGCGGTGAGGTTCGGTTTTCTTGCGGTTTGGTGTGGTTATTTTCGGTTAAATTTTTTGGTTTTTGGCTTGTCAAATTGAACTTCTTTCTCAAGCAATAAATGAGCCTCATAATTAATTCTTACAAAGTTTCTAAGGCAAAATGCATGTGCTTAGCGAATTTTTCTACTGTAATCTACTATAGCATGAAATTTAATTAGAAAATAACAAAATAATAATTTTCTTATGTCATATGTATAATGCTACTTTGCGTGTTTCTGTGTACTCCCAGTATCAGCTATAAATTTTAATTGTGATAATTTTTTTTTTAAAAAAACATAATTATATTAATGAAGTGAGTGATTATAGAAAATATGATGTCTTACATATACTGCAACTTTGCTCGAGTGGGTGTAAAGTTTCCGTATGGTATCAGCACTAAATTATAAGGGTGGAAAATTAAATAACATTTATACTAATAAAGTGAGATTAGAGAAAATATAGTTGGTTTGCACTCTTCGTCTAGAGCATTACATTTCCAAATATAGACACACTCTTATATTGGGCGTAATGTATTAACACCCACAAGAAAATACAAGAGAATTTTATCTATTTTCACTATTAGTTCTGATAATCGGAACGACTATTGCTACATATTGGCATATTACAAATAGCTTTTGCTATAAATATAAAAATTGACCTCAACATTTCATGGGATGTGAATGTAGGGACATGACACCGAAAATAACAACAATAATAATAATCCTGCAATAAAATAATTTTTTAGCAGAAATACACCAACTGGCTTGAGTCGTGCTGGGCACTATCCTAAGAAACTATTTCAGCAGTGTGAAATATTTCTCCAGGATTAAACAAGCTTACCTCTATTTTATTTAGAGGATACAGGAATCAGCAAAATTAAATATTATACAAATCCAGCTAGAAGGAAAAAGGAAGACCAACTAATGTGTAATGTTAATTAAATATTATAGAAAAGAAATTGGAAGGAGGAAGAGAGAGGCGTATGAGAAGTGTGTCTGATGATTGAAATTGTCTTATGGAAAGACCATTTTATAGGCAAAAAACCTTAAGGTTTTTCTTGCCATTTGTCAAGGTTCTTTCCATTTGTAAATTCTCTTGCCATTTTTCAATTCTCTTACATGCATCTTGCCATTTATCTCTTCTAGAAGGCTTCCACATCGTCTTCTTCAAGACATTTGTCAACAAAGTTTTAAAATATTGCCACAGTCCCTGTGACGAACCAAAGGGTCATCACCGGATTTCTCTCTTTTTCGTGCTTCCGAGGCCTTAAAAACCTCGCTTTTAGTTGCCTCGATTTACGTGCGCAGTCCGGGCGCGAAGCCGGAAAGCTTTTATGTTGAAATATGTGAACTTTGTGAAAAATTTGAAGAATTTTGATATTAATATTGCTAAAGTTGACTTTGGTCAATATTTTTGGTAAACGGACCTGGACCCGTGATTAGGCGGTCCCGGAGGGTCCGTAGAAAAATATGGGACTCGGGCGTATGCCCGGAGTCGAATTTCGAGGTCGAGAGCCCGAGAAATGAATTTTTCTGTGAAATTATTTTTCTGAAATTATTAAGGAAAATGGAAATGAAAATTGATCAAAAGACTATGGTATCGGGCTCGTATTTTGGTTCCGACGCCCGGTACAAGTCTTAAATATGTGTTAAGCGCTTCCTGTAAAGTTTGGTCGAAATCGGATGTCATTTGACGTATTTCGGACCTAAATATCTAAAACTTTGAAGTTATGAAGTTTGAAATGAGAATGATGATCTTGAGGCTTGGTTCAATGATTTTTGATGTTATTTTGGCGATTTGATCGCCCGGATAAGTTCGTAGGATGTTATTGAGTTAGTGTGTGTGATTGGTTAGGAGCCCCGAGGGCTCGGGAGTGAACGAGAGGTGGTTCGGGGTGTTTTTACACTTAGAAAAATAGCAGATTTTGCTTCAGCTGTTGCAGAGCCCATTTCCTCTTCGCGATCGCGTTCTTCATCCCGCGTTCGCGATGCCTTACTCCCTCTTTCTTCGCGATCGCGTTCCAGCCCCGCGTTCGCGTAGGGTTATTTGACCCTGAGGGCTGAGTCTCCTTTTCCCCTTCGCGTTCACATTTGTACCCTCACGATCGCGTAGCTCTACAGAACTCCTTCATCGCGTTCGCGTGAAATCCCACGCGTTCGTATAGAACAGTTCCTGGACCCCAGCAATTTCCTTCTACGCGTTCGCGTCTCTCTCTACGCGATCGCGATAGCCTACCCAGTCTACCCTTAGCGAACGCGGCCCCTCTCCCGCAAACGCGAAGGGCAATTTTGCGCAGCGAATTTTTGAGTTAAAAACAGAACAGTAGCTCGGGATTTTCACAAAAATACACGAACTCCTTTCTTCTCCAAGCACTTAGGCGTCCATTAAAGCTCCCTTTCATCAAAACTTCTTGGGTAAGCATTGTTCAACTTGTTTTCTTCAATTTCCTCTATTAATTACTAACTTCCTAGCCCTAAACCTTGAAATCAAAGTAGAAAATGGGGGGTTTTAGGGTAGAGT